CAGGGAAATAACATTCTAAATCTTAATGATTTTCAGATAACAGATACAGTGAACTGGACATTAGCATAGCAGGCTATGTTTTTAGCAAACTCATTAACTTTTAATATCTAGCTTCACGAAATGTTAAAGCGTTGGAATGTTGGCCTCGGTGTGATTGGTGGATTCTATTGGACAGTAAATGCAAGCTATCATTATCCTGATGCGTCTCTCTGGTGTTCACAATTTCAGACTCACTTCCTTCTCCAGCCTGGAGCTCGCAGCTTACCCTTTCTTTGGTCTTTTCTTTTATCCCCATTCATTCAGTTTCTTCTATTTTTTAAAGGAAATATTGATGTTAAAAGGTTTTTGGGGGTATGGACGGTACCCCACTGTGCGTTTTTATTCTGATGCTGGTCAGGCAGAGGTGGGTCAGGAGCTTTTTGTTGGCCATTAGACAGCCCTCTGTTCCCACTCCGGAGCCCCGCTCGCACCTCTCCACAGCTTTGGAGTGCTGAGGGTCTGGCCAGAAGACCGTCCGGGTGGGGGCGGCGCCAGCCGAGGCCACGGGGGGCCTGACTGGCCACTCACTGCCATGCCTGACATCTGCTGGGTCATTCTGACTTGGAAGGAGAAGAGAACAGGAAGTCAGTGTTATTGATCATCAGAGTTCAAATAGAGAGCTCCTCCCAGAGGGCAACACTCCCCCAATACTCATGCCTAGCTTGTTACCTTCACCTCTGCCTCTTAAAAGCCTTCCGGGCCCTCCCCAGCTCAATGCCCTCTTCCTACCCCCCCAACCGTCCCCACTTCCTCTGTTCACCTCCACTCTCTTCGCCCTTTCTGCCCTCCTCTGCTCCAGCTGCTCGTCCTCCTCCTTCCATTCTTGCCTTGATCTATTATGAATGTGCTTTTTCGTGCAGCGCTACTTTGCTCTATCTGGTCACCTACAGCTGAGGAGGAGGGAGTTTGTGTGATGTGTTAGGTTTGTGTGTGTGTTTATCAGTCGAACCTGGACATACAAAGCAACTAGGGATGGGATCGGTCCGGTCTTCTAACGGTACTTTATCGGTTCTTTTTGTGTTGGAGAGGGGTTAAAATAGGTAAACTAATAAACAAATTGTGAACAGAAACTAACAAAAATAAATAACTCAGATTACCCTCTAATCATTAACCCCATGTTGTATAATGTAGTTTAAACTCTGTGGTTGCTGCTAGCATACATACCTGACGTGGAAACGCTTACTCGGGTGGACGGGCTAGCAGAGCTGACTAGAAAGGACATTTCGAACACCGGGTGGATCCTCCGTCTGAATGTGTGTGCACTTTTGCTAAATGTTTCAAAAATTGCTCTTGTTACCGCCCTGATATGCTAAACTCTTATTGCACTTAGGCGGGTAAGTTATAACCACACCTTCGGACGCGCAGTTCTCTCGCGCCTTCTCCTCGTGTGTGTGTGTCGTGGTGTGTGTTGTGTGTGTGTGTGGTGTGTGTGTGTGTTGTGTGTGTTTGTGTGTGTGTGTGTGTGTGTGTGGTGTGTTGTGTGTGGTGTGTGTGTGTGTGTGTGGTGTGTGTTGTGTGGTGTTGCTGACATTGTAGCAGCTGCGATGTGTGTAAAACTGCCCCGGCCCCCTCGCAAGCAGGCGGCGGGGAGAGAGATCGAAAATTACAAAAATAATCATAGAGCTTTTTGGCAGTCTTTTTGCGCATAACTAGGAAAACGGAGTTGGCGACACTAAAACTGCAATATAATGTTTGTTAGAATAATACATATGACATATATTTTTACATGTCTCCAGTACCAATAAAAGAGCCGGATAACGTCAGGAGCTTAACGGTCCACGGTCTTTTAATAATTCAGCTCCGGGGCCCGTTTAATACCTGGGCTCGGACCATCCCTACAAGCAACCAAGCATTGCTCAACAAAATGTTGTGTGTTGGGCTAGATATTTATGATCTCTTATTAGCCTCCCTAAGTGTCACCACAAGAGTTTGGACTGCTCAACACAACACTGTATAACGACTGGCGTCATACGTGGTGTGTGTGTGTGTGCTGTGTGGTATGTGTGATGTGTGTGTGTGTGTGGTGTGTGTGTGTGTGGGTGTGTGTGGTGTGTGTGTTGTGTGGGTGTGTTGTGTGTGGTGTGTGTGTGGTGTGGTGTGTTGTGTGTGTGTGTGTGTGTTGGGTGGTGTGTTATGGAGCAACTTGGACATACAGTGGGGCAAAAAAGTATTTAGTCAGCCCACCAATTGGTGCAAGTTTTCTTCCACTTAAAAAGATTTAGCTTTTGGCCTGTAATTTTCATCCTAGGTATACCTCAACTATGAGAGACAAAATGAGAAAAAAAAAATCCAGAAAATCACATTGTCTGATTTTTAAAGAATGTATTTGCAAATTATGGTGGAAAATAAGTATTTGGTCACCTACAAACAAACAAGATTTCTGGCTTGCTCACAGGACCTGTAACTTCTCTTTAAGGAGCCTCTCTGGCCCTCCACTTGTTAACTGTATTAATGGAAACCTGTTTGAACTCGTTAGTCAGTATAAAAGACACCTGTCCACAACCTCAAACAGTCACACTCCAAACTCCACTATGGCCAAGACCAAAGAGCTTCATAGGACACCCGATAACAAATTGCTTAGAACGGCACCAGGCTGGGAAGACTGAATCTGCAACCTAGGTAGCCTAGCTTGGTGTGAATAAATCAAACTGGTGGGAGCAATTATTAGAAAAGTGGAAAGACATACAAGACCACTGATGAATCTCCCTCGATCTGGGGCTCCACGCAACGATCTCACCCCGTGGGGTCAAAAATGATCACAAAGAACGGTGAGCTCAAAAATCCAGAACCACACGGGGGGCCTAGTCAATGATCTGCCAGAGAGCTGGGACCAAAGGTAACAAAGGCTAACCATCCAGTAACCACACTACGCCGCCAGGGACTCAAATCCTGCAGTGCCAGACGGTGTCCCCTGCTGTAAGGCCAGTATACATGCTCCGAGGCCCGGTCTGAAGTTTGCTAGAGAGCATTTTAGATATCCAGAATTGAGGATTGGGAGAATGTCATATGGTCAGATGAAACAAAATAGAACTTTTTGGTAAAAGCTCACACTAGACGTTTTTCGGGAGGAGAAAGACTGCTGGAGTTGCATCCAAAGAACACCATTACCCTACTGTGAAACCATTTGGGGGTGGAAAACATCATTGCTTTGGGGGCTGTTTTCTGCAAAAGGGGACCAGGTACGACCTGGATCCGTGTAAACGGAAGAATGAATGGGGCCATGTATGTGAGATTTGAAGTGACAACCTCCTTCCATCAGCAAGGGCATGAAGATGAAACGTGGCTGGGTCTTTCAGCATGACAATGATCCCCAAACACACCGCACGGGGCAGACGAAGGAGTGGCTTCGGTAAGAAGCATTTCAACGGTCCCCTTGAAGTGGCCGTAGCCAGTCTCCAGATTCAACCCCATAGAAAATCTTTGGAGGGAGGTTGAAAGTCCTTGTTGCACAGCGACCAGCCCCAAAAAATCACTGCCTATTTTTAGGAGATCTGCATGGATGAATGGGCCAAAATACCAGCAACAGTTGTGGAAAACTTGTGAAGCTTACAGAAACGTTTGACCTTTGTCGTACTTGCAACAATAGGGTATATAACAAGTACTGAGATGAACTTTTGTTGTTATTGACCAAATACTTATTTTCACCATAATTTGCAAATACATTCTTTAAAAATCAGACAATGTGATTTTCTGGATTTTTTTTTTCTCATTTTGTCTCTCATAGTTGAGGTATACCTAGGATGAAAATTACAGGCCTCTCTCATCTTTTTAAGTGGGAGAACTTGCACAATTGGTGGCTGACTAAATACTTTTTTGCCCCACTGTAGGTGTTGACGGGAGTGTTGGTCCATTATAAATACAGCTGGTAGTCTTTATGTTAACACTTTGGGCATATTAAATAGATTGAACATGGACAGATCATATCTACGGGAGCCCTGAGGGTTCAACAATAACAAACATACTTGTATTCACCTGACAACAATGGATTATGCCATATATAATTCAAGGAGTAATTCCTAAGTCAACAAACTGTCTCCACCCAGACTACTTACATTTCCCGTTAGCTTTAACTTAGCTAATGTATTGAAACATTGTGGTGGTGGCCCTTGGGTTTTATAATCAACGTCTTGTTTAATTAAATCCCTAATTGGTAGTTCAGCCTCACTCTAAGCCCTTTGAGACATTTGTGATTTTGGTCTGCATGAATTAAATTGACTTGAATTTGTAAGCTGTAAATATTACTGAACTTCATTAATTGGAGTAAATTAAAAGCTCTGAACCCATTTTCCATCTGCCGTTAACACGTTATCTGAATGAGGCAAACATGCATCAGGTCCAAATAAAGTTCATGCAGCAGCTTTGGTTCTCTTTACATCACCTTGAGTAAATGGGGCATTCAAGGCTGTTTACGAAGGTGAAAAAAGGACATAACAGATCGACCTGCTGTCACTAGAACACAGCTAGTTTCCTCTCACTGGTCTATTAGAAATGGACCTCAGAGCGATCAAAAGCCTCACTATAACAAAGGACACTGATCACCCTTGGAGCCAACCGTTCACATTATTGGGGGAATCTCTCGGCGGTCATGGTCAGTGGTTCGAGTCCCAGAACAGACCAAAAGAAAACGTTGTACCTAGTGTCTTCTTCTACTGCCATCTGTTCGGAGATACAGCAACAACTTAACGATATGCACCATTGAAAGCTTGTTACTTTAAGATAGCTTCCATGCAAACAGAACACATGAGGATCATATAAGGATTAACTGAATCGGACAAATGGAGCATTACATCACATTACATGTCACTTGTTAGACGCTTTTATCCAAAGCAACTTACATACATTCAACACTGTGGGCAATCCCCACAGGAACAATTTGGGGTGAAGTGTCTTGTTCAAGGACACACCGGAATGTTGACTGCAGCGGGATTTGAACCAGTGCCCCTGTGATCCAAAGATCAGCGCACTAACCACTGAGCCACAACCTCCGAACCAACAGGCTTGGTGTAGCGGACAAAATCATATAGAAATTAAACAGATAATTAACTTACAATAACACTGCCGCTGAGGCACTAGTTAGTGGATCTTACGCAGGGCAATGATCCAAGTCCAGACAAGAGTCTCCGTTTGTGCATTTATTATATGATCCAATATTAACAAAGGATAATCATCAGGTTTCCTATGGCTTCCTTTCTTCTGGCTCGAAGCACCCTGGTAAAAAACCATGTGCCTACTAGTGCTCTGTTCACACCTCCACTTGTCTTCAAAATAAAAGCATAGAAACTACTTCAATAACAATAACTAAAAATACATTTACTATAAACAGCAAGAAAATAAACGTTTAAGTATTAATAATATAAGGCAATATATACCGCCAACCCTTGGGCTCTGTTTGTTTAAAAATGCATCCTATCTGAGCTGACCGGAACAGATGCGATTTTAACTAAAGGACCAAGTATTGCACCACAGTGTCTATCGGTCCGACTTACCACTGGCTATTTATATGTGAATTAACCACGGACCTTTAGAGAGTCTAAAGGCCGGAGTGAGCATATTACTGCACTGGGCTTCGCAGAGGGAGCACATTAATGTATAAGACTGTATGTAAACTATAGCACCAAGATTATGGAACTCTCTGACAGAAAGGAAAGTACATTCTTATTTAGGTGACACATATTACAGTTAACATATAAATTGGCTTTGTAACATGAATGCACCCAGGAACTGGAGTCGAATTATAATCAGCCGAATGTGGAAATGGTTTAATCATGATGCTAAAAAATTTACAATTGTATTGAATTATAAACTCCAATTTAAATTAAGTGTTATGTTGATTTTATGTGATGGACCCACACAAAATAGTCAAAATTAATGAATTAAGAAAAAGACAAAGCTGGCTTGAAAAAAATTAATTAAAAAAAAGTAGTGTGTGCATATGGAAGAGTGGCCAGAAAAAAAGCCAATGCTCAAATCATGTTTGGATTTCACTAAATACCAACGCATGATCAAATAGTTTTACATATAAAAAAAAACGTTGTATCTTTAAACATGTGTACATCCAATAACACAATCTCTCCAAAAATAAACTCAAATGACAGGTTTTAATGCAATAATATAGGAAAAGCACTAAGGGTGTGAATGATTTCAATGGCGCTGCGAGGCTTACCTTGTTCATGCCCCACTGTCCTTGCTGCGGCCCCTGGTTGGCTAACACCCCCCCCTGCTGCTGCATGCTCATGTAGCCGCCATTAGGCACCGACATGCCGGACATCATGGCCCCCCCACCCATCCCTGGAGTGAAACCCTGCGGAGAGAACTGCATCTGAGGCTGGCCAACGAACATCCCTGCTGCGGCAAAAACACACACAGTTCTTCAGGTTAACTTTCATAGTAGTGAGCAGGTAAAAAGAGAAATGTAAGACATTTAGTCATTTAAGACAGAAATAGTTACTAACAGTTAATATTGAATGATCATAACGGGTGAATGTTGCAGTTCAGCTTTCAGGCTTTCCTTTGAAAATCTGTTTTTGCTTTAACCTCAGAAATAGTGAACCTGGCAGGTGATTTTCCGACACTGCGTTAATTTCCGCTGCCTTGTGAAATGAGATTACTGGGAAACACTCCAGTTGAAAAGGGTACAAAAATGACTTCCATTGACAAAATCCTAACACAAATTAACCCTTTCTAGAAACAGATTTTTCTGAAGTCTATATGTGTTGTTGGGATGGAAACCTCCACCCTGAAATGAACTGTATTGGCTTTAAAAGAATGGAAAACAACAGGAGTCCTTTGCTAACAATGCAGACACCGTCTCCACAATTAAGAATAGGCTTTATACTTTACTTTTTGAACCAGCCCCTAGTTATGCTTCAGGCTTAGACTGTTGAGGGACTTTAACAGACTTTCACTTTTCATCTCTTTTCTATTTCTCTCTATCTCTTTGCAATCATGTCTCAACAATGCATGTGACTAACTGAGCATCCGGGGCATCATCACATAAATGTGTGTGCCTTCACCTGGCAGCAGGTCAGTATTAAAGGTTTCAGGAGGTTTTGCTGTGGTCCTGCATCATGGCCACCTTTAAGAAATGTTGTCCAACACCTGGAAGGTTGTCGACATCCACTTGGATCCAACGTCATTTCCTTGTTTATATAATACACAATGTTCTTATATTTGGACTCTCTATGGATTGTCTATGGTATCTTTTTAATTTATACACAAAAAACATCTCATACAGGTGTGTCCTAGGAGGGGATCCCTCCTATGTTGCTCTCCCAGAGGTTACTTCCAAAGACAAATGTGTAATTTGTGATATTGAGCTACATAAATATATTATAACAATGTATATATACATTTGATTTGATGCATTTGACTCCAGATATAAGGATAATGTGTTTATCTTCAACTCTCAACGATATTGATCACATTGTCAATTAAAGTTATCTTAGAGTCCACTGTTTGCTGTTGGTTTTCCACATCAAAATACTGTCTCCACAGAGTGGATCGTGAGAATCCAGCCTTTTTGCATATAGACAATATGCTCTCACTCACTTAGTCACACACACACACACACACACACACACACACACACACACACACACACACACACACACACACACACACACACACACACACACACACAGGATTTGTGGCATTAGCCTGGCAAGCTTCTTTCGGCTTCATCCTGAGTTCCTTTCCTAATCCTCTATCGTGCAGCAACATAATCAATATGCACAAGTGCAAATCTGCTGCCTACTATCTTCTACCTATCAGAAACACGAGGCGCTTTCCCTCACTCTCCACTGTCGGGTTGATGTAGCATGTGTGGATAAACAACAGCCCACGTATGCTCACATAAACAGTCTTGCCGCTCCGTGTTTCCACATAATAACTGAGATGGGTGTGAATCTGTTTTACTGCTGCAGGGGGACCCCGTAAACCCGCCTGCGTTTCCCCACGCTGACCTTTCATCTGCCTTCACTCTCCTCCACTTTTATGATGCATCTCTCCTGTGATGTATGTGAGTGTATGCACCTACAGCCGAGAGTGCACTCTTGTGTTTATATTACGGTCTGCTTTCCCCAGCCTATGATACCTACAGTGGTTCAGTGATGACGTCTTTTAGTAGGGCCACCTCGACAACAACCAATGAGATTTTTGCATGGATTTTGGTATTTGCAGAATAAAAGATCTGTTCATAGAGATCATATTAACACCACTTAATGATTGTTTGAAATGATTGTTTGAAGTGTAATGCAATCTCCAGGAGTAAGAAGCTAACGCTAAGCTATACACGAGTTAAATCAGTTGCATGGCTGCACATCACCACCGCTAAGCTGAAGGCGGCTAATGTTTGGCTAGATGACAACGAGTAGTCTCAAGTGGACAGTTGCATTGGTGTAAAGTAACTAAGTACATTGAATCCAGTACTGTACTTAAGTACACATTTTAGATACTTGTACTTTACTTGAGTATTTCAATGTTTTGCTACTTCTTAATTCTACCCCACTCCAGTTCAGAGGTAAATAGTGTAATGTTACTCCACTACAGTACATCTATTTAATACCTTTAGTTACTTTGAAGATTTTGATTAATGATGTGAAATATAATCAACACTAAAATAAGACATTAGAAAATGGGACAATCTGCATAATGAGAACTTTTACTTTGGTCCTTTGAGTATATTTTGATGCTAATATTTTTGTACTCTTAAAGGTAGGGTAGGTAAGAATGGAGAAACCAGCTCAAGTAAGCTAGAATTACTTTCAGGCAGGTAGGCCATCCAATTATCTGCCGCGGGTTGAGGCAGATGAAATATTTGTATATATTTATTGTCAAAGCATTTAATGTATTCATTGCTATCGGGATGTTAAGAGCATTCCATGGAATATAACAAAAAGTGTTTCTGATGTCAATTACCTACCCCACCTTTAAGTAACAATTGCAGTACAGGACTTATAACAGAGTATTCCTACACAGTGGTATTTCTACTTTTACTTAAATACAAGATATGAGTACTTCTTCCACCTCTGGACAGTTGTTAGATGCTGCTATTTTGATGGCATAGAAGCTTCAGACATTCACCTGTAGGGTATTTACTTTCATCGTTTTAATGTGGTAGAACAACATGTGAACATTTCTTTAGGTTTTGTTAACCATAGATCTTACTTTAGGCATCTACCCATAAACCCTGACTTCAGATGAGGACTCATTTCCAGGTTTTAAGACTGAGCCAATGTACTTACAGACAAACAAACAGCTGTGGGTAGCTGGCTACAAACATAATCTGTGCAGACTTTTGAATGATAGAAAAACTCATGTTATTTCTACTATATTTCTTCAGTCTAGCTCCTGTCAGCTCCTTTCTCTCAACATTTATCAAAAGGTAACATAAAGCTTTTGGGATAAGCACACATTATTTACTCCAGTGTGAATGGCTGATTTGTATATTTAAACCTGCTTTGAGGGGTCATGAAGACTGGAATAGTGCCTTGTAAATGCAGTCTATTTACCATTTCATACTGTTTGATCTGTTAAAACAAACTCAGGTCTTTTTCTGGTTTGTGCGGTTAATTTGGGCGAGTCTGAAAGCTGCCAATCATACTAAACACACTGATCCAAGACCGCCTTAAGTGTTAAACCTAACCACATTTTTACAATTAGTCTTTAATAAGTGTGTGACTATCATTCCCTAATAACCCTTAAGTCATCACAACAAGCAAATTATTTTGCAGTTGTTACCTTGTGAGCTCTTTGTGACACCAAAGAACATTAATATGCACGTTCTGATAATGAAAGTGCTGCAGACATTTCTCTTTTTTTTCTTGCATACACTTCCTGTCAGTCACCAGCAGGTAGTTTTCGCTTCTGGGTTTCTAATGATGCAGGATGGTAATTGTCAAATCGCTCAAAACTCACTTTGAATAACTTCTTGTTCACTAGACTAAACTCCTGAGGAGAATATCGGACTCTTTAGCTGCCCCACCATTTATCTTTGCTCATAATATATATATATAAATAAATATACTTCATGTTCGCAACAAGAGGCAAATAGGCAAAAAAGCCTTTCAGGTTTATTTCCTTTAGTTAAATAAATAAAAGGAATATATGCTTACAAGTTCCTGGAAATTGGTTAGGTGTGACCACATGTTCAGCGAGCATTAATATGCACACGGCGATCAAGCTTAATTGACTATATAGTCACTACAGAGGGTGTGTGTGAGTGTGTGTCACCTTGTCCTGTAACAGGCTGCTGCTGGCTCTGCGGCTGGCTTGCCACTGAGCTGCTGGCGTACAAAGATAGGATGGAGTCTTTGGATAAAAGCTTCTTCTCCTCTGCCTTTGTGGTGGTGGCAGTGGATGTGGAGGAGGATGCAGAGGAGGAGGTGGAGGGGTCCGCCTGCGGGGGGGCTGGACTGTAACCAGACTGTCAGGGGGACAGAAGGGGGGTGGGATGAAGATAAATGGCTTTGACATATGTATGGTTTCACCTACACATATTTTTCCTCTGAAGGTGTGTAAAGTACATGCTCTTGGTCACCTCACACATGGATATGAGATACATTGTAGATGTATAAGGCTGAGTCATTTTACTAAAGCAGTTTGGATTCATCGGTTTTTACATTTATACCAAAAACATATTAATGCCGAACATTTCCACTCCCTTAGAAAATAATATAAAAGTGTATCAACCAACCAAATCAGCAGGCCATTGGAATTTTTATTTTATTTTAGACATTTAAGCCTATTTTTTTTATTAATACAGTATATGTTTTGAAGCCTTTTAGCAGCTAAGGGCATAGCTCATTCCTTTTCTGGAACGTTTATCGATGGAAGTTATGGTAGATTAACAATACCAGAAAGAACCTCAAAGTAGAACATCTTAAAAAACTGGTGAAAAACAAATGGAAATGTAGAAGCTACTACAAAATAGTATCATTGGTAATTTTTGTAATACTAGCATTGAAATTTAAACACGTTATCTTAGTTTTTTAACCAAAGAACCATGATTCTTGAATGTAAAATGGTGTGGTAACATAAGCAGCCATTCAATAACAATGACTAAATTAAAAAAATACCAGTACCAATACCACCAAAGTATACCAGTCCAAACAGACATCCAATGCAAACTTTTTGTACTTGTAGTTTTTTGATAAGTTCAACATACAGATTTTACATTTGTTTTATGTCTTGGATATAGTTATGTCTTGGATATATTCATGACCCAAGTTTTTCATTATATGCCATTGAACCTTTGAAATCCCTCAAGGGGCTGAGCCTATTTGCTGTTAAGCTTGTTCGCAAGGTGGAAATTGAAATATCTCTAACAGACTCCAAATCCCTCAGACTGCGGTAATGACCAGCTTCCTTCTTCAAGACTAACAGTATCTGTAGAATGGAAGGCATGCCTCAGTTAGAGTCTACCAGCTTTGAGCTTTAGTGATAATACCATCTATCAAATGATTTGGAAAGGGAGCAGCAACATTTGGAGCATGAGGAATGTTAACCAATGAAAACTGTTACAACGTAATGTGACTATAGTTGCGTTGGTATGAAACACTAAAAGCTCACTTTATTCCACCTGCCTTCCACCAAATATGAGATAGACACAATTAGAGGCTAGCTGGTGCAGCATTCATGAGCTAAAGAGGCAGATGTTTTCTCAGTGGTTGGTGGAGACCAAACAGAGCTAAAACAATCACATACTGGATTTATGTTTGCCAGGTGACCTGAAACACAACTTCAAATTAATGGCAGCATGGCTCCATACCTGCTGATTTAGTACTTTAGCAACTGATTTCAACAGACCTTCTAAAGATTGCCTCTACAAGTGGACTTTTGACGCATGTCATTGCATTGTAAAGCATGGCTCTATTTAACTCAACTATTTTTTATTTTGGTTTTACATAAGCGAAAGTCATGGAGATTTTTAGCCGGTTCTTTCATAAGAACAATGTAGTTCAGGTTCCAAGCAAGCTGAGCTGATATCTGAAGGTAACAGTCACTGTGTGTATCTCAGACAGCTTGACAGAGAAGCATCTGAGGGTGTTGTTGAGCAAAATGTCAATTTAATTGAAGTGCAGATGTTCCTCTGTTTGTATTGCATTTATGGTTGTGTGTACTGCATGATTATGCGTTTGATACTGTTGAGCGCACCAAAAGAACCGTCCCCCAAAGTGGACAGAAAATGAATAATGGCAGGTTTGAGAAATACACGTTGAGACAGTGTTTCTGTTACTGAGCAGGGTCGAAAATATCTGAAGTGTGTTTAACAGTGAGTAGACCTCAAATCAGGGACAGGCATTAATTGCTGTACTGCATTGCTTTTATTGTTGGAATGAAGCAATTGCCAATGTCATTAGTTCAATTTGTGGTTTCCCTGTTATGACTCACAAATATGTCTGGTGGTTTTTGAGGAACAACAGGAGCAATTTATTGCTATCAAGGTTTGTTTGGTCTCCAAAGAGGCTATTATAGAAAAAGGTTGGAAACCACTGAGAGACACTCGGGGAAATCGAACTGCTGTATCAGAGTCACAGAGAGACTCACATGTATTAGTCTTTAAACAAGACATATTCTGCTCATTTTCAGGAGATATTTGTATCTAGTGTCTCTCCTGGGACATGTCTCCATGCTTTAATGTTCAAAAAGCTCTTTATTTTTTTCATACTGCCTGTGCTGCAGCACCTCTTTTCACCGTCTCTCTGAAACCAGAGCCCAGTCTGCTCTGATTGGTTAGCTGGCCGGCTCTGTTGTGATTGGTCAAGCGCTTAGAGATGACCCGCCCCTTAGCCTACCAGTACAATGTGTTATAGTGCTAGCCAATAGAAGCGCGAGTGTCACAAAGTGATGTCATTATGTTCCTGAAGAAAAAAAAGGAGTCCAATTGAGATGTTACAGTTTGGGGGGAAGGGTGGGGGAGTGAAACTCTCTCTGGAGGGAGATTTTAGCCTTTGCAGAACATTTACATGCACAAAAACTAATCTAATCTAACACACTACAGGAAATGGAAAATCTAAAAAAGCTTGATAGGGCCTCTTTAAAACGTCAATATCAATTTCCAAGTAAGTGTTCAAATCAATGCTTAAGTAAATGAGATCGACAAGATGTTTGGAAGTTAAGGCCTCTTTTGGCACACATTTTCCATCGGTCTTCCGCTGACTGTGACTGCCAAACACTGAAGGAGTATAAGCTGCATTTGTTTTGAAAGAACAGTGACACACTGCAGATTTCTTGCCAAAGCCAGGCCAGGGGCACACTATGTGAAAAGCAGTGATGCATGTGTCTAACCTCAGTCCTAAAAGAAGATGCATTTAAGCAGAGTATGTCACATGTGCATCTATCCGCTTCTTTGTCCTTCTCAGTCATGCAACACATACACCATTCACATAGTGTGTGATATGTTGCGGGGAACCTAGCAGCACATTGTGTCGTAGAAAGCCTCTTCAACAAGGCTCCATTCTTCTCAGCCAATGTTGGTGTTGATGGGTGCAGCCAGAGCTCTGAATTACCACTCTGACAGCCTCTTCCTCACTGTCGCTATTCATAGACCTCGACAGCCACACACACACACACACACACACACACACACACACACACACACACACACACACACACACACACACACACACACACACACACACACACACACACACACACACTTTCCCCCTATGGTTTCCCATCGCAGCTTGATATGCGAATAAACTCCCCTCTGATAGATCATCTGTGGCTTTAAAACCACACTAGGCTCTGTTTTTCTGCAAAGGGATTGGGGTTTATTTAACAACAGCAAAACTCACCTTGGAAATCTAAATCCAAGAAAGAGAATATGGAACAGGATAGACAAAAACAAAGTAAAGGGGGATGAGTGAAAGGAAGAAAGGAAAAGAAGGAAGAAATCAATTGCTGCTCAGTTCATTACCTCACCGCTTTTCTAGTTCCCAGGCTTTTGTTCTGCTCTAAACAAACTGCATTTATCTTTCTCTAAACCTCTCAGCCTTCATCCCTTCTTCAGCAATCAACAGCATTTCCTCTTTCTTTCCCCCTTCACTCCTCCTTTCTTTATACGCTCTTTTTCCAAATCATTTATCTCGTTTCCTCTTCAATCATTCATCCTGCTTAATCCTCAAACACAACAAAAAAACGAAAAGCTTGAACTTGAACTTAATGTTGTGTGTCCCATGCGTGTGGGAGAGAAACTCCCTCTGGAGGGAACACAGGGATTTTAGTCTGTGCATACCATTTACATGCACAAAAACCTACAGTATAGAACACACTACAGGAAAGGGACAGCATAATAATGACGTTACAAGTCCAGCAGCAGGCAGGTTTTCTAAAAGATACTAAACAAACTATTTACTCGACTCCCAATATTAACTAATATTATTTTATTGACTTAAAAATGATCGTATTTCTAACGCTAAGAAAAAAAAAACTCTGTTCCATGGCGGACCAATGGCTGGAACTGCAACAAGAACAACTTTATGGCAGCACTGTCCAACTCTGTTCAGTTTCTGATCCACTAACAAGTCCTTAAACTCTGCAGAGCCCATACCGTGTTCTTGTTAGTGTTTACTTCCTGTCTGTAGCCCATACCGTGTTCTTGTTAGTGTTACTTCCTGTCTGTAGCCCATTCCGTGTTCCTGTTAGTGTTTACTTCCTGTCTGTAGCCCATACCGTGTTCCTGTTAATGTTTACTTCCTGTCTGTAGCCCATACCGTGTTCTTGTTAGTGTTTACTTCCTGTCTGTAGCCCATACCGTGTTCTTGTTAGTGTTTACTTCCTGTCTGTAGCCCATACCGTGTTCCTGTTAGTGTTTACTTCCTGTCTGTAGCCCATACCGTGTTCCTGTTAGTGGTTACTTCATGTCTGTAGCCCATACTGTGTTCCTGTTAGTGTCTACTTCCTATCTGTAGCCCATACCGTGCTCCTGTTAGTGTTTACTTCCTGTCTGCCTTCTTCTGGTGATTTATCTGACGTCCAGCACTCCGTCTTTTACTTTCTCTTTCTTGATCCTCCTTAGCAACAGTCATTATAGTCGTTGACAGCGGTCTGTACTACTGTATTAACGTGTCACATGTTCTGAATTGCCCAACCAGAATCGAGTATTCAATTAAGCCGTGTAATAAGCAGTG